TGGACGAGGGGTTGTGCCCGCGGGGGGGGGGGGGGGCTGGGGAGGGGGCTGAGCTGGGCTCCTGAAGCTGGCGCGAGTGGAGGACCAATGTTACAGACAGAGCTGTAAACCTCGGGCCCGGTGGGCTCAGCCGGAGCTACGTGGCTGTTTCTGAGGGCCAATGACATTTCCACCCAGAGTCAGAAACCAGCGAAGGGGTTTGCTGGGCTCTGTGTGAGGACAGCCGGATGGACGTGAGCATTCGGTGGGGCAGAGGTCTCGAGGGGCACAGCTGGAGGGGTGCTTGGGGGAGCCGTGTGCTGCAGGGCAGGTCTGGGCATGGAGCCCCAGGGTCACAGGTCCACCTGGACAGGTTCTGAGACTCCCATGTGGGTCTGTGGACAGTCCCCAGGGGCCCACACATGCCAGGTGCACTGAGCACTCCAGCGTCAGTCGCCGGACCCTGCTTGTGAGACCCGTTCTGCTGTCCCCTCCACTCTCAGGAAGGACCCAGAGGGTGCACAGTGGAGGGGCTGGCCAGGGTCTGCCCTCACCTGTACCATGCAGCTGGGTGAGCCTTGTGCTTGGCTGCTCAGTGAGCCACCTGCATCTCGTTCCATTACGGTTGGCCAGAACTCCAGCACAGTGGTGAAGCACTCTGCATAAGGGAACCAGCTCCCACATGGTTGACTGCAGTTCGAGTCCCAGCCCCAGAGACTAGAAAGGCAGGCCAGGCACCTGTGGGTGCGTGCCTGGAACACTAACAGCATGGGAGGTGAGGAAGAGGGTGCAGCACGCCCACTCCCCTTCAGAGGGCACCTGCTCGCTTTCCTCTCTCCTCCGCCATGTAGAGAGGGCCATACCCTCATGATAAAGAAAGGAAGGAAGGATGGGGGTGGGAGGGGGCTCGGCCAAGGGCTGGTAAGGGCAGCTGACAGGCCTGGCTCGCAGCAGGTGCTCCATGAGTGTGAGCAAGGTCTGGTCCCCACCCTCCTGGCCACGGCCATAGCCCCCATGGTTGCCATGTGTCCTCTCTACAGTTCCAGAATTTCCAGGAGGTGACCTTGGCATACCTGCAAGGCATCGCCCACAGCTACAACGTGTCCTCCGTCCGCGCCCAGTTCCAGAGCCTGGCAGCAGAGAGCCGGATGGTGGCTCTGGTAGCCAACCAGACCCAGGCCGCCGTGCAGGGAGGCCTGGCCCACCTGAAGGCCTGGATGAGGAAGACCCAGCACAGGAGCCAGAAGGCAGAGGCGAGGCTGCAGGCCTTGGACCTGGCCCTGAGCCAGAAGAGCCAGCGGCAGGCCCAGGAGAGCGAGGAGCAGAGGGAGGCCGCCGCGAACCTGGCCCTGGACATGCGGGCCCTGCGGGACACGCTGGG